AAAGTGTCGTGCTGGACTCAGGTATTAAAAAATTGATTAAAAATATGTAGAGGCCGGAACTCTGCTTCTAAATGATTGCAATGCATAGAACTCTGTGAGATCTAACGAGAACTGCCGTTGAAACTGATAGAAATAGTCAGCACGTCACTTTTTCTAGAAGTTTTATGCCATTTTCTATATATATGATGTATAAAAATTGTTAAATGTCGTTATTTTGTTTTGAAAATGCATATCTTAGTAGATTTTTAGTAGAACTATCGGGAACTGTTGCTAAAAGTGCAAATATTTACTTTTTTTGTGTACGATATTTATTTGTTAATTTGTTAGTTAGTTTATTGTTAAATTAAGAACAATAATTGTTATTATTAAATCCATTTAGCTCGATTTAGACTGTTCAATTATTTAATTTGCATTGCAAAAAACGAGCGAAATTTATTAATTGTATTTTTTTATTTTTTCCAGCTTTGGACACAAAACACATCAGCACTCGGTACATTAGTATATATATTTTAATCATAGAAAAGGAACTTTTATTCTGTAAAACTATTACGAAGAAATTGAACGAGAATGAAAACGTTAATTTTATCGCGTAATGCAGGCTAATCCAACATTCCCTTATCTGAAAACATATATTTATATATATAGAATATATATATAATCCTAACATTTAATAAAAAAAAATGATTACAATATTTATATTATTAGATATATATTTCTTAATGAAATATTCCAGAATGATTAATGTGAATAAATATCACTTTATCTATATATTAAAAAAAATTTATCGATGTTATTTGCTATAATTAAACTCAAGAAGAACAATAAGTTATCATAACATTAAAATCATGTCAAAATGATTCCAAAATGATCACGAAACGTTACTTTTTAAGTGTTTCTGATTAATTTGAACATTATTTTGACGTTATCATGACTTGTTATTCTGTTTGGGGACTTAGATCGAATATATATTATACATACATAAAGTTGTTTTTTTTTATTAGAAGCTTTGTGCTAGTAGGACAAATCAATAAAAAATGTTGATAATCTCTTTTATATAATTCCTAGTCCTCTATAATATTGTATGCATATAATTATATGTCCATAATTCAGTCACATTAGTCAAAGTTTTTATTTAGCTATAAAAATTATTATAGTGCAACTTTTATTTAGATTGGATTCCGTGATTATTGAATCACAATGTATCAGATAAATATCGCTTTCATATCGTTTGATTCGTATAACGGAAATTTCCGTTTATCATTCCTTTATACAAATCTATTTACAAAGTTCGCAAATCATTTTACTCGTTACTAAACAATATTTCACTTCACCAAATGTACAGAAAAAATTGTTTGAGTAATGGCTTGACTCGGTTTTCGTATGCTATTGTGTAAATATGTGCTAAAAATATATAATTGATGCGAAATCGCGGAATCAGGCGATCGTGTTTACTTAAGAAAATAGGTTTTATCCTTGGAAATGCAGAAATAGTTTCGATTTCGTTGTGTACAAACGCAGTCACGTGAACCTTTATGTCGCGTACGTTCGAATCAATCGATCTACGAAACCGATCATTTTAATTCGCGTAATTGTACATTTATTACAGACTCAATCGTACAGAAAAGGTTTTGATCCGATCTGAAAATGTAATCAGGCATGCGATCGGAGCGCAAATACAACTTTATTATTACGTTTTAACATGCACAACGTAGTGTAATGTGAGTCTTTATGAAGTTGACTATTTTCATCGCTGTGTAGTTTTTACGAAGAACGCAATGTGAATGTAACTAGAAAATGTATCGAATTCGAAAATTTTGTGTTCTACTTGATTGTCGAGCTGATTCATGAAATTATCGAATTTCTACTGTTGAATCGATTTGCACGAGGAAGGATGATTTGCAAGTCCAATCTGTGCTTGATCATAGGTCTGATCGTCTTCATATTCGATCTCACGTGGAGTCAACTAATCAGGCCAGTTTATGTGTACGAGGGTCTGATCAAGGGTATCCGTGACTACTTTAATAACACATGTATTGTATTTTTGCACAGCAATCCGAATCTTGTTGAAACACAAGGTGTGAGCAATGCGAAAGTAGAATATTGCGTTAATCAGAATGATTCTTGGTATGCTAATGCAATCGACCTTTCATATACATATATTGAAAACTCGTACTTTGCAGATCTTATGGAAAGTGAAAACTTGGTGACTCTTCAGAAGTACCTAAGTATGACCCATCAAATACGCACTACTTTCATGGATTTTCATATGTTTAGCACACGAGTGAGCATTTAAAGAGAAAGGGAGTTTGCCTTTTTTCTACAATTAGTATTATTTAATCATTAAACAACGAGAAATGTTTTTTGATAACAAAACGCTATATAATAAATTGCAAGATTATTTTGCGCATCTAATTGTCATAAATAATGCATTTACCTCTTACCACAGAAGAATACATTTGATTGCAGGTCGGGCAAAGTTACTATCACATAAAAAGACCTCTGTTCGTTCTTCTTAACGACTATGAAGATACAAGGGATAATTTTGCTCATGTAATTATTTAAAAAAATTTTTTTAAATACACTATAATAAGACTTAATTTGTTATTCAATTATTGCGGTATACACAATATTATTTCTAGTATTAATCTTAAAAAATTATTAATGCACACAGAAATACAAGAAAGCTTTCTTTTTCAAATTTTTATTGTAATCAATATGTAATAAAATATAAATATATGTACAAATTAAAAATATTTTAAACAAAGTTTTATTTTTATAAATTTTGTAAATTTTCAAAATATATTTTCTATAAGTTTAAAAAATTTTTTTTTTAAACATGAAATACTATTTTCTCGTTATCGCGTTTTTATAAAGCACAGCCTGGAAAATTTCTACGAACAATTGGCATGAACATTTATTTACTAAAATGTAGCAGATCACAACGTGGATCGCGATGGCTTATCCTACCTGGCTGGTATTCTTCAATAACAAGACCAAATTCGAAGACTTTTTCTTTGAGATTTACATACCGTTTGATTGTAAGTTCATGGTGGTTCAGAGTAGCGCCAACGTAACTGACAGAGAAATCATCACTGAAGTTTATCAAGTTGACAGAGGAAGAGAACTGAGATTATCGCAGTTTGGTACATGGGATGTAAGGAGTGGTCTGAAGGGTCCTAAACACGGTCTATTTTTAAGAAGAAACAATCTTTTCGGCCAAAATATACGCGTTACATCAGTCCATGTAAGGTCGCTTATCCTATTTTTCGCATAAGAATTATAATAATATTCATATTAATCAAACACGCAATTAGTGGATTAACTGTTTGTTAAAAGAAAATAATATTTAAATTTAATGATAATCAGTAAAATACAATAACTTTGGTAATAACTATATGGTAATGATATAACGTAAGATAATAGTTGTTAACGAAAGCACTTTTTAAAATATTGTTGTCAGAAATAGGCCTTTTTATAATTTTCTTCTTGTTCTGTGTCATACAGTGATATAACAGTACTTTGAAAAGTAGTTTTGTTCATCACTTTATTACTTTGCGTTCTTTTATATCTATCACTTTTTTGAGAACAGAATTATATTTATGATCTATATGGCATTCTAATATTCGCTTTGGCGATGCACAATTTTATGCGCATAGGACCCTCCTATCAGTTTGTTTCATCGTAATGAACGAAACGAAATAATGAAAATAAATGGCTTTTTTGGAGAAGTGATACTGCTATTGCAAGAAGCATTAAATTGCACGTGAGTATATTAATATATATGTATATATAAATTATATTATAAGTGTAAGAGAGAGAAGTTTTTATATAAAATTATGCTCTGTAAATAAGCGTTATTAAATTTAACGATTATATTATATAACAATTTGCAAATAATAATATATAATTTATTGAAAAGTTAATAATTGTCGTAATATATTATACCGTATTATGATATATTGTAATAGTTTTCTGTATCTTATCACTTTCTGTCTGGCTTTTTCTTCGTTTTTTCATCAGCTTGGTCAGGTTTTTTCTGCTTCTCATCTTTTTCCATTACTTTATCATTTTTCTTTTTATTCTTTTTCTCTTCTTGAATTTGATTTTGCTTTTCTTTAAGCTCTTTCAATTGTCTCGCGGTCTCTCTTCGAAAATATTCTTCCTCACTAGCAGCCGCTTTTTCCTCAAATATCTCTCTTTTTCGCCCATCGCCGCTTCTTCGACGTCTTTCCGAATATGCTCTTGGATTATATGATGGATAAAACCTAATTATATTATTAGATTTATTAAATAATGTAAGAGATCTTTTTCATTAAAACAAACCATAGTATTCAGTGTAAAGGACAATCAATTTTGAATTCGTTTTATAAATAATAATAACATATAAAATAATTTCCTAAATTGATAATGCAATAAATAATATATAACCCCTCCCCCATTTCTTTTTTTGCACGTTATTTAAATACTTATTATTAAGAGTTCAATAAAAATGATAATATGATATCTTAAATAAGGTTATTACATTGTTATTCTGATTCTTTTAAAATTAATCCATTTTGCAGCAAGATTGCGCAGCATGACGTTACTGTTCCTTCATTCTATATTTTTCTTCCTTCCTTTTGTTCTGGAATTGTTGCAATAGCTATTGTTGTTTGAAAAAAATTATCAATAATTTTGACATGATTATCTGGTTATTTAATTTTGATTTTGACAGCTTTCTTGCTGTGAAGTTCCTTCGGAAAAAGCATACAATTGTCAATTAAAACTAATTATTTACTCTTTTTTTGTACAGGCTGCGACAAAATTACTAATTATTAAAACTGATTCTACCCCCATATATATACTACAGATTCACCTACAAGGAAGCCAAATCGTGGGGTATGTGTCTACCAGACGGTTCGTGTACAGGTGCGATTGGAATGTTAGTGAACAATGAGGTCGACTTTGCGGCAACGGAGTTTATGATGTCCTCGGATAGATTAGATGCTATCAGTTTTACAACGCCTATTTATACAACCAAGTAGTATATTCCTTCTTCGATAATTCTAAATAATGAGATACATATCAAAATCTAAATCTAATCGAACAATGTTTTAGTAACAAATTTAAGATATACCCAATTTAAAACACTGTATCTAGCAAGCATCAAAATGCGCAAAACATAAACATAAACATTTGTGCGAAAGTAATAAAGTTTAAAGGATACTTATTATTTGGGTGGATTTAGTGACACACGTATTAAATTTAATTGTTTAAATATGTACATTAAATTGTGTCAAGTCCATTAAAAACAAATGAAGAGAAAACTTTCAAAATGCCAAATTACAAATAGCCAAAATGCCAATTACAAATCCAAAATTTGTAATTTTTAGATTAGAAAACGTGAAACTATATACGCACATACAAGAAAACTATGCACTTTAGAAAATAACAGTATGTCAATCAGTAGGATGCGACGTATGGTATTAAACAAAATTGCTGTTAACATTTGCTAAAAATGTTAAATAAATGCATTTTGTTTGTTTCTAGTTAAAAAACATAATGCACTTTGAAATATGTATATTTTCTTATTATATAAATTGACGAGATGAAAAAAAAGTGTTTTCTAAATATCTCAGAATAACTTACAGAGTGTCCCAAGCGAACATCTAAAATATCTTTGAATCTGTAAGATCTAAAGAAAAATTCGTATATATATATAATCAAAATTGCACGGCACAAAGGAGGTTATCATATGGCGATAATCATATTTTTATTTAGGTGGAGGTGCTTCAGAGATATCAAAGTCAACTTCATTTTTTTAAATGGAATAATTAATTTTTTCTTACATATTATATGATTACCGTTATCTTAATACTTTAATAATACTTTTAATGAAGAAGAATTGGGAAAATTATATTATGCAAAAAAGCTTATATAAATCCGACTAAAAAAACGAAGTTGATTTTGATATCTTCGAAGCATCTCCACTTGGATAAAAATTGAACGAAAATGGATTGAAATGAATTAAAATAGATTCAGATTTTTTCAGAGATACGGATTCATGAATGTTAAAATGAATCCTTTCCAATCCTAAATATATTTTTGTTAGGAATTGCACGGAGCATATCTGTATGCCTTTCAATCTAAAAATAATATCAGCTTTTTCAGTGCATCATGAATACTATGTTCAATTCAAAATTTTGAATAGAAAACGTAGTTTTTCAATCCAATTGCATCTAATTAAATCCAAAAGAAGTTTTGCTGTTTAAAATACGCATTCGAATAGACAAAACGTCCAATCCATTTTAATCCATTTTCGTTTGCTGGATTATTATCGCCATATGATTATCGTCCTTTATACTGTGCAATTTTGATTATACAAATTTTTCTCTAGACCTTATAGATTTAAAAATATTTCAGATGCTAATAGTTGTTGGAACAACCTGTATGATATGAGTCTTTCAACAATGAACACTATGCTATTTCTAACTAAAAAAGAAAAAAAATGAAATTTTCTACAAAACGCATTTTAAAAGTTTATATTTTTTAAATGCACTCATGAGTTTACAATCCAATTTATGACCAAGTGTAACTTGTGCATAATAACAGCTGAATTTAATTGTTTATTAGATTACGGGCTCTCTACAATAAATTATTATCTAAGCTTTAAGTCTTAATTCGTGAAAAATTGATCAATTACAATCGATTATTCTTCTCACACATGTGATTGATAATTTCTTATGACTTAAAATTTATTTTTCAACAACAATATTATATTTTGACTATTTATAATAATTTTATCTACGAAAGAGATAATTTTGAAGTTTGAAATCTGAAGAGGACTCAATCAAGGAGTCGAAACTTGTTACGTTTATTATGTCCTTAATTTTAAGTATAATTTTTATATATTTTTATATTTATATCCTAATGTTTTTTCAAATTTAAAATTAAATATGTTGAGATTGTAATATTATTTTTAAATGAAATTTTACTTTTGAACTCTTACATCGCCCTTTCGATTTGTAGATATTAATTATTCTTAAAACTTATGTAATGACTTATTGTAGAAAGCTTATTAGATTGCGTCGAGTCCATTAAAAAAACAAATGTACTCTCATAAGTTTATGTGCCAAATCATGAGAGCCCGGTAATAAAATTAAAATCTATTAATGTTCCTTTCATTTTAAGATATCGTGCGTATATTAAAAGACCTGCATCGTCTGACGTAAAATGGGATGCTTATACGGCACCGTTCTCCACAAGTATTTGGAATGTCATTGCTCTTTTTATTGTACTGACGAGTGGAACGATTATGCTCATTCAGAGATTATTTACATTAACATCTCCATATCTTCGAAATGACAACCGTTTGAGATTTACAGAAATTTTGTTTTTTGTCACAGGAGCGTTTTGCAATCAAGGTAATTTCAATTTTTACGCGCCAACCCTTGCTCGAGTGCTTACGCTTTTCTTATATAGCGTCTTCTCTTAGGATACATCGGGTATAGCCTTGAATCGCACCAGTTACGTATAAGCGCCTTACACTTGGCTACATTACATTATAGTGGTATACACCGTGGAGTAGACTATTCCATTATTGCGCTAAATCCTGCTTCCGGTTGATTTTCAATTTCAAATTTTAAATATTTTACATTAACTTTACGCCGTCTCTTTGAGTAGCAAGATCCCACTTTGTGCATAAAATTTACATTATACAATGGAAACAAGCTAAACTATCTGAGTGTTGCACTGGTGGGCGATCGTGTAGTCAAGAGAAAACGCTTTTACGATAATACTAATTTTTTTTGTAATATATGACCGCTGTCTTTCTTATGAAAAATGGTATTAGGTATGAAACAATCGACGCTGGATCCTGTGAGAATTGTGCATTTCATAATTCATCTATCGGCTGTTGTGATTGTAGCCGCGTATTCCGCTGCCTTGATTAGTTTCCTTACTGTTAAAACATTTATTATGCCCTTTACGACTATGGATGGTCTTCTGAAAGATAAGACCTATCGTTTCGGTGTGGTCGGTGACTCGGCAGATTTTAATTTTTTCCAGGTGCTTATAATAATTAACAGATTTTTTATCTTTGCTATACAATCAGAGAGAGAGAGAGAGAGAGAGAGAGAGAGAGAGAGAGAGAGAGAGAGAGAGAG